AGTATTTATTATTAGGGGGGTGGGGAGGTTTAGTATTAGGGGGAGGGGATTACTTTGGGGTCCTTGCCATCATGGCTACGGCTCCTTGGGACAGGTGGGCTCCGAACATAAATTCGCCTCCTTTTTTGGGGTGACATCTGCCGAAACGGAGACCGTGACGGACACTACCGTGCATACTCCACATTCTCTTAAATGGTGATGAGGATGATGTTGAAGAGGAGGATTCTGAAAACCACAACCACCCTCTTCTCCATCATCATCATCATCATCATCATCGTCATCACCGTCATCATCATCATCATCATCGAACATTCTTCTGATGAGTTTAACCCCGCATCATCCAGGGATACCATACATACCTCCATGCATTATCAAAAGTATTCCGCGCAAGCTTCAATCACGTAGTCTCCGAGAGCCCTGCATCGATTTTCATCTCTTCAGGCTCCTCCTCCTGCTCCTTGGCTTATACCTAGACCCTGGATGTCCCACATTTTTGGGTATATACCCTATGAATATGTAGGACAGAACCAAAAAAAAGGAAGAGCACCCAGAGTCCAGGCCCAGGTGAGGTTTCACTGCTGCGGCTTTAGGGCCTCCTTTTGGGTTTTGGGTCACATCTAATAATTGGGGCTAGGAAATGAGGACTTATGGTTGATATGGCTGCATTGTTATGGGGAATCAGCTTATCTTCTTTTTGGGATAAGGGGCAGAGTTTGGGGTTTCGGGGGCAGGGGCTCGTCCTTTCTGTCCAAAGTCCGAAGTCCTGAGTCAGCCCATCCTAAACTAGCCATCACCCAAAATCCAATCACATGCCCAGTGTAGAATCCCCATACAAGGTTTAGGATCCCCTTCTATGCCATCCCAAAATGACTTCCTGGTGTTAGTCGGAAATAAGGAAATATAACCCCTATATGATCACATATTCCCTTGCTCCCTACTAACCACCAGTAATCAACAGGAACCTAGTATATCCTCCCTGCTTCTTCCAAGCCACCTCCCCCTTGTCCTCGCCCTCCTCAGGCTTCTCCTGGCAGCTGCCAGGCTTTCGCAGTTCCCCCTAATTACCCCTGGGAGAAAGTGTCCCACCCTACAACAATCCCCGAATATCATAACTGTAGAAATGTTACCCTGAATGGAGGTCCTGCACGTGACCATATGACTGTTACGTTGTGGGGGCAGTGCCCGACCGACCCTACCCTCAGCACACAACTGCTTGGTGGATATGTCATGGAGGATGCTGGGATATGCGAGGGCAATTAGCACGTCTCGCGACAAATTTGAACCCGCAGAGGGGGCTGCAGAGACTGCAGACTGCTCTTGTGCAGGCGAGATGCTACAAGGATTCTATGCGGAGCTTCTAAGCAGTGTGTAGGCATGATATTGGAGTGCTTCGCTTCTATACAAGGACTTTAGCACGAGCCCACAAGTCCCTTGCACAAGTTGGCCTTCCAAGCGCAAATAAGCAAAGAGGTTCTGCCGCTTTTTAAGCCAGAGAGCGAGAGTACTTGCAATGTTACAGTTGATGTTGCAGCGTCCGGCAAAAGCGAGTCATTGCGGTTTGGAAGGGAGCGAGAAGAAGAGGCACTTGCGCCATCTTGCGCCAGGTTGCTTGAGTTTAGGTACGGATTCATCTTCTTTTGCGGGGTTCATGCTCGTGGTTGAGCCGGAGGGCCCTGAATCTGCGTTTGTTGGATTTGCAGAAAGAATGTAGCGCTGTTTCAAGTAGTCTTTAGGCGCGTACAAGATGTACTACTCATTCACTATGTTCTTAAAATTGCCCCGAAAGAACCTTAACGGAGGAATCCCCAAATCTCCCTGGGTATTAAGGCCCCGTGCTTGTTTGAGATGTTCTTGTATTGAAAGGAATCCAGCCAGAATGGGCATCACACTGTTGTGAAACCATGCGATCCGAGGAAAGTGCCTGATCACTATCAACATCATTTCAAAGGCCATGGGTCTGTATGCGATACGGTGTATTCAAGTGTGGGCACAGAAATCAACGTGTCAAAGGCTCCTTTTCGCCCTCTTCACCCTCTTCTGCCTCACCGCCATTCTCCTGTACAGAACTCCATCACTCAAGCGTTCAAGAGCTTGTTACTGTAGCGCGCAATTAAATCATTCTGACAGGGCATTGAAGGGCGGGGCATCTTGTATGGTAATTTGAGAGCTAGACGGACTATTAGAAGAAATGAACATTGGTGTTGATTCAGGCCTCTACTTTCAACCAGATGAGGCTCTCCTTTCCAGTGTCAGGATCCTCTGTCGAAATTTTCCACAATGTCATGAAATTTTGTGTGATGAACGTCTCCTGAACATCCGGGATACAGGGGACCTTCCATCACTGAAGAGTTGAGGGCTTGCTTGGATGGATGTGAGAGCCTTACATCATGGCAGGTTCAAGTACAAGGGGGAATAGTGAGAATAATCATAGTACAGTCATAATAACAATAGGAAGAATAACAAGGCTATAATGATGGCTATAAGGTTCCCTCGTTCAAGCCTAACCCTGAGCCTACATCGCCAAGCCTATCTCATCAAAAGAAAAGCTCTCAATGGAGTTTGGAGTTATCGAATGACCCCAAAACCCAAATGGTCTTTTCCATAAATGGTGGAGCCCTAATATAGACCCTCAATTCCCTATATTACTTATTTACGCGGACCAAAAAAGATACCCCTAATTTCCGGAAACCCCCAAATTAAGATTGAGCACCCGGAGCCCTCACACCCCCAGAACTGGTCCTCAGCTGTCTCTTCAGGCTTCTTCTCCTCTTCCTCTTTTTTCTTAGCCTTCAAGCGATATGCACGTGTCGTTCTATGGCGTATGTCAAACTAACCTCAACGATACTGCTATCGGAGCTTGGGGCATCAAAAGTTATCATTCCTCTACAACCCCAGTGCCCGTGCTTAAACCAATATACCCCTGTCTGTCTGTCGTGCGCAGAGAGCCAATCGGCCAAGAATGCAGGATTTCTTGATGTTCCAAGGTCATGATGAACCCAGAAGCCATTAACCCCACACCCTCCTGGAATAGTAATTGCCCTGCTTGTGAGCCTGCTGTTCTTTCCTCTTCTTGGCCATCTGCGCGGCTCTTCTTCTATGTGGGTCCTCACCGAGCTAAGAGGCCAAACCATAGAGGGAAGCTCCCAAGAGCATACAAAAAGAATACCAAAGGAGCACGCCCGCGCAATGCACCACAGCACGACCTTGAACTGGCAGGGCTAGGATAAGATTCTGCATGGCAAGCTCGACTTGCAGAATCACCAGGATGTCTGCCTTTCTTGGAGAGCTCTTCAGCCTGTATATAAACAGCCAAGAGGATATTTCTTGTGTCGCCGCCAGTTGTCGAGTAGAGCACGTTGAGCTGAATCTAATCACGCCCGTGAAAGACACCCTCGCCCCTGATTGTTGGCACTAAGGAGCACTTGTGCTACTTCTGCTCTGAATATGCCAGGACCTATTGGGATACACGTACCAGCCCCCAGATGAGCCGTCCTTGGAGTCTTGATGAACTCGCTTCCTGAGTGCAGAGCTTGCCAAACAAACGCTGCAGGATTCCGGCCATGTTTATCATTCTAAGTGGCCAGGTCTTGGCTTCACCTAACGCTAAACCCATCGATTGATGGCGGCTTTTCCTAAACTGTGCACGGCATAAGATCTCCAGCTACAACTTACACAGCACCAACAACACAACATTCATGTACAACAGCTAGACATGAGGTCGCAGCCCGAAATGACAATCTTCTAGATTCTGGATATGGTTATCCCTGTCCTCCTGCTGATAATTACTAAGGATCAGAATAAGCTGCTCAGGTACTTAGGATCATGCAGGACTAGTTGTATCCAATGCTACCTGTTCTAGCACAATTGCAGACACAGATTGACTTGGCCCACTTATGACTTCTCCAGAAGAAAGCCGCCAAGTCCTGGCCGCTCCTAATTCCATTTTTTACTGTGATGACTACTTTTTGCTCGTATTGTTGGCATTATTGCTATCATTACCTGCTGCTGCTGCTGCTGTCACTATTGCACAGGAGTACAGCAATATCGCGGTAAGGCGACTCCTACAATAATTTCCCATCATCGCCATATCAGCTCCAAAACTATGACGCACGCTTCGGACTTGATTATCCCTTGAAAACGGGAGGGACCCCTGTGCTTTTCGAGAAGGACCCAAAATTTGAGGGACTCTCATTTCGGTGAAGCCGAGCGTCCACATGTTCAGCATACGGCTCCACTCATTGTGCTTCTGGCGGAACCAATCAGAAGGCCTCGAGACTGTTGGCAAGGGCGTGTGGCTCAGGAATCGCCAGCTTAGGGTAGTCAAAAAAACATTGGCAAAGAAAGCCAATAACCAAATGACGGGGCTGGTGCCTGCCACTTCCAAGTGCCAGAGTGTCGCAATTCAGAGGGGGCCTACTAAGCCGGTAGGCGCTCACAGTCCCCACTGACCACATTGACTGGGGCCGCTGGCTGCAAGTCCTCCACCCGCTGCGTCATCTTTCGCTCCAAAACCTGAGGCGCCGTAGCGCTGGGGTTTCAGGACCGCTCACCTGCTTGGAACTTCATGGACCGCCACGTCTGGTTTCCTCTTCTACTTCTACTTCTACTTCTACTACTACTACTACTACTACTACTACGACTACTGCCACCACGACCACCACCACCACCACCACCACCACCACCACCACCACCACCACCACCACCACCACCACCACCACCACCACCACCACCACCACCACCACCACCCAGATTTGGTGTCATGCCTGTAGAAATTGGCGGATAAGCGGCAGCTATCATGTCAGGGTCTGGCTGAGGCTGCAGCCCACTTTTGCAGATATTCTTTGCACTGCTTCTCCTTGTACCAGAGGAAGGTCACCTTGTCCGAGCCTGAGGCAGTCAATAATAGTACCAATAGCAATAGTAGTATTAGAGACAGTAATAGTAATAGTAATGATTGCAACAAGCGTAATGGAAATAATTGCTAAACCAATGATAGTTGTAGTCAGTGTGAACAAAGGTTCCCGGCACAACATGCGCCATGCAGATGAACAGGATGGGTTCGGAATGGACGCAGCTATCGGAGACATGTAAAATAGCTTTAGGATCTGTATTGCTCTCAACAGCTGAAAATCACCAGCTGCCAAGGTGAGTGAGAGTACTCTGAAGTTTGCATGAACGTAGGAAACCAGGAAAGTGAGGTCCCATACACGCATTCAGAATATTCCTTTTGTCTCACGTGAACTACAGTCGAGATATGGACCATGTCAGGGACTATACCAAATTACAAGAGAGACCCCCATGTCCACTGTTAAGGGCCTCTTTATGAAGGCTCTTGTTGACCGTAGCTCCTGTGCAGACATGCCGAAGGAAAGTCCACATGCAGGGGTACTCTACTCCAGGCCTGCTGACATCTGCCTACATGACGACGGTACTGACTTACTGGGGGTTAGTAGTTGAATAAGGCCTTATAGTCCATATATATATATATATACATATAACCCCTATATGTAATATCTTCCCTCACTCTCTGCTAACCCGCAGTAAGGCAATGAGAAGATAGTCATACTTAAAATAGACAAAGAGCCCTGCAACGTCTGGAAGATGAATAACAGATCATGGTAGCAACATAGCCTTTGGCATGAAATAACAAGGATAATGGACAATAATTTGGAAACTACGGGGATTATAGGGGGTATATAAGGATTATAGGGCATGTATTATGGGTATATTGGGAGAATTGAAAAGAAAACGGAAACTACGATAATACATTGGGGTAAGAATGACAATGAAAAAAAAACACGGTCTTGCCTTCGTCTGCGGTCGGCAACGAGAACTTCTGATAGGACGAAGACATCTCCTCGCAAGTGGAGGCTTGTCATGGTCAATGGAACGCACAGGGACGACCTAGGAACTCTGTGGAAATGTAAACAAATGCTCTGAACTAGTTGTTACGGGAACCATGACCCGCGTGAAAACACAACCCTGCCATCTCTTGACATCCAGGGCACCCTTATTAACATTGCGACCGCAGAAGTACCTGGGCTGCAACTGTACTTCAGGACTTCTCCAAATTCTGCTTTGTTTTCTCCTGGTCCGTTTCCGGTGTTCGTTTTAGGGGTATCTCTCAAGCTTGCCCCTCAGAACTCACCACCCTCGCAGATGACCAGGGCCTCTGATCCTGCACCTGAAGCAACAATTGAGGAAACTCAGGATTCTAAACACAATGTGGCGGGAACCTCAAGCCAAAGTGTGATACTCGAACACTCCAGCTGGGCATTGATGTCCAATTGAAAAGCCCGGCAAGTGTACTTCCTTGCAAAGATTTGGGGAGCCCATTGCAACCAACATGTTGTTCCAGATTCCATGTCTTATAGCCAAACAGGGCTTTTTCATGCACCGTAGCCCTTCTTGTTCCTTATCGAGACTACTTGAAAGAGCACCCTGTAGAAGCAAAGAGGCTCAGCTCACCTTCGAGGTCAGGTCCGGGACATCCTTGCGACGGAACCAAAGCCTCAGAGAGCCCACATGATAAGGCTAACCTACGAGTAACCTCAATCCCAAGCCACATGGCAACTTTCTCGGGAAAAAGGGTCCACACTTTCCCTCCACATGGCCAAAAAGAAGGTACACACAAAAAAGGCATAGAAGGTCAGCCATCACATCACGCTGAGCAGCTTCTTCTCTTCCTCCGTCAGCTCCACGTGTATCTGGTCGGGGCTTAGGCTTCGACCCTAAAGACCTGCTGTAAGAGCCTGAAAAACTAACAAGGATTGAGAGTTTCGGGTAACAGCCAACAGCATTCCCCTATAACATTGCTTATATTACTATAATAACCTGTACGCCCAAAGCAATCCAAAGCACCTGAATATTTTGGACCCTACGTTAATCTCTCCTAGCCCCCTTGCAAAACCAGCTTGCATCTTCTATTGAAATTCATTATCCATTTAATTCTCCTCTAATATGGTTAAGATGGTGATGTGCGCCCCTAACCTACACCCCAAACCCTAGATGATGTAGTCAGTTTCATCTTCTTTTGCATTCACTACTAGCATATCT